GTGCGAGGGGGTCATTATTAAGATTGTAAATAAGGCGAATGCAGGCGATATAGGCATCGTGAAGGAAAAGGAATCGATCAGTGCACTTATCATGTACATGTTGGTCCGAATTGAGACGAGCGCACACTGAGTTGTTTTTGTTTTTTTTTTTGTATGTGCGCCAACTTGGCAGTTATCTGTGCAGCTTCTTCAGATGAAAGATTAACGGGCACTTGCCCTGATGATTTTGACCTCATCATGAAAAAAGTGTATAATAAGGAAATGTTTTCCGCAGATGACTCAACATCAGTTAGATTCTTAACTTTTATTACACTTGTAAACAAAAACGAATAACAATTTGTCCATGGTCCACGTATTTGCAGAGTTCCTGTCGACGATAGGAATTCTGATCCCCTCACCCTTTTATAGATTCCAAGTGACCTTTATAGGCCGTCAACTTGTTGTTCAATACGCCTCTAAATCCGTGGTTTTTTTGCTTCGATAAATAATAAGCCATCATTCCTACCAGGAGTAACATAGCTAAACTAGGGTAAATGGGGGTGAACGTGGAAGAACATGGTTAATCAAGGGCAGATGAGGGTCAACGTGGTAGAACATGGGTTACCTAGGGTAGAGGAAGGTTAACGTGGTAGAACATGGCTAACCTAGGGTAGAAGAGGGTTGACGTAATAGAACATGGTTAATCAAGGGTAGATGGGGGTAAACGTGGTAGAACATGGGTTACCTGGGGTAGATGAGGGTTAACGTGGACGAACATGGTTAATCAAGGGTAGATGGGGATAAACGTGGTAGAACATGTGTTACCTGGGGTAGATGAGGGTTAACGTGGAAGAACATGGTTAATCAAGGGTAGATGGGGGCAAACGTGGTAGAACATGGCTTACCTGGGGTAGATGGGGGTAAACGTGGTAGAACATGGGTTACATAAGGCAGATGAGCGTTAATGTGATAGAACATGGTTAATCAAGGGAAGATGGGGGCAAACGTGGTAGAATATGGGTTACCTAGTGTAGATGAGGGTTGACGTGGTAGAACATGGGTTACCTAGGGTAGAGGAGGGTAATTGAGGTAGAATATAATTTGGATATATCAACAAAGTTGAAATAGTAAATTGGCCACCGTAATGATTACAAAAGCTGACGGAGCGACGAAGGGCTAACGCTCGAAACGTCAGCTTTTGTAATCGTTACGGTGGCCAATTTACCATTTCAACTTTGTTGATATATCCAAATTATATTCTACCTCAATTACCCTCCTCTACCCTAGGTAACCCATGTTCTACCACGTCAACCCTCATCTACACTAGGTAACCCATATTCTACCACGTTTGCCCTCATCTTCCCTAGATTAACCATGTTCTATCACATTAACGCTCATCTGCCTTATGTAACCCATGTTCTACCACGTTTACCCCCATCTACCCCAGGTAAGCCATGTTCTACCACGTTTGCCCCCATCTACCCTTGATTAACCATGTTCTTCCACGTTAACCCTCATCTACCCCAGGTAACACATGTTCTACCACGTTTATCCCCATCTACCCTTGATTAACCATGTTCGTCCACGTTAACCCTCATCTACCCCAGGTAACCCATGTTCTACCACGTTTACCCCCATCTACCCCAGGTAAGCCATGTTCTACCACGTTTGCCCCCATCTACCCTTGATTAACCATGTTCTTCCACGTTAACCCTCATCTACCCCAGGTAACACATGTTCTACCACGTTTATCCCCATCTACCCTTGATTAACCATGTTCGTCCACGTTAACCCTCATCTACCCCAGGTAACCCATGTTCTACCACGTTTA